TTATGGCATAGCATCAAATGAGCCAAATACACATTCTGTGAATTCCAAAAGAAGAGAGAGAGAAGTGAAAACTTACCCTCACTTCTAATTCCTCAAGCCTCTGGAGATTCTGCGATGAAAATAAAATCTTTACTTTGTTGACAGGTAGATTTATCAAACCCGTCTCTGGTTTCACCAATTTCTCTTTTCTTTATTTGTCTTTTATTTCATTGATTTCTGCTATAATTTATTAACTTCCTTTCTTATATTGTGCTTCATTTGTTCTTTTTCAGTGATTGTAGACCAACCTTGTATTTTTTCTAATGTTAATATTTATAGCTATAAATTTCCCTCTAAGTATTTTTTTAAGCTGCTGCCATAAAATTTTATGTGGTACAATTTCATTTTGATTCAGGTCAATATATTTCTTAATTTTTCACTTAATTTCTTCTTTGACTGGGGTTATTTAGAAGTGTGTTGTTTAATTTACACCAAATAAATTTACCACAATTATTTCTGTTACTGATTTCTAATTTAATTCCATTATGGTTAGAGAATATAGTTTGTATAATTTTATTCCTTTTACAGTCATTGGGACTTGCTTTAATACCCTATGGCTTACATAGGGTCTATCCTGGTGATATTTTATGTAAGCTTGAAAATAATGGATATTCTCGGTGGATTGCTTGTATATGTCAGTTTAATCAAGTTCTTTGATAATGTCTTCCATTCCGTTTTATCCTTTCTGACTTTCTCTCCACTAGTTGTATCAATTACTGAAAGAAAAATATTAAAATCTTCAACTGTAATTGGTATATTGTGTATTGAACTTTTAATTCAGCCAGGTTTTGCCTCACATGTTTTAGAGCTTTTTTGTCTTTTTTAAATTGTACTTTAAGTTCTGGGGTATCATGTGTAGAACATGCAGGTTTGTTACACAGGTATACATGTGCCGTGGTGGTTGGCTGCATCCGTCACCCCATCATCTACATTAGGTATTTCTCCTAATGCTATCCCTCCCCTAGCTCCCACCCCCCAACAGGCCTTGGTGTGTGATAATCCCCTGCCTGTGTCCATGTGTTCTCATTGTTCAACTCCCACTTATGAGTGAGAACATGCGGTGTTTGGTTTTCTGTTCTTGTGTTAGTTTGCTGAGAATGATGATGTTTCTAGTTTCATCCACATCCCTGCAAAGGACATGAACTCATCCTTTTTTATGGCTGCATAGTATTCCATGGTGTATATATGCCACATTTTCTTTCTCCAGTCTATCATTGATGGGCATTTGGGTTGGTTCCAAGTCTTTGCTATTGTGAACAGTGCTACAATAAATATACATGTGCATGTGTCTTTAGAATAGAACAATTTATAATTCTTTGGGTATATACCCAGTAATGGGATTGCTAGGTCAAATGGTATTTCTAGGGCTTTTTAAAAAGGTACATGCACATAATTTTGACATCTCTGGCTATTGCCTGCTCCTTCCTTGTTATGAAGTCACCCTTTTTTCCCAGTAATATGTCTTCTCTTAAAGTCTATTTTATCTGATATTAATATAGGCACTCCAGTTATAATCTATGTATTGTTCACATGGTATGCATTTTTTGCATCCTTTTACTTTTAATCTGTTTGTGTCTTTGAATTTAAAGTTTATTATCTATAGCCAGCATAGAATTGGGTCTTTGCATTTTGATTGGGGTGTTTAATTCTTTTAAATTTAATAAAGTTTTTCATGTTTGGATTTAGATTTAGAATTCTCCTGCCTCCGCCTCCCAAGTAGCTGGGATTACAGAAGCCTGCAACCATGCCCAGCTAATTTTTATATTTTTAGTAGAGACAGGGTTTCACTATGTTGGCCAGGCTGGTCTCCAATTCCTGACCTTGTGATTGGCCCACCTTGGCCTCTCAAAGTGCTGAGATTACAGACATGAGCCACCACACTCGGCCTCCTCTGCTGTTCTTTAATTGACTACTTTTATTTTATTATTTTAAATTTATTTTTGAGATACGGTCTCACTCTGTCACTCAGGCTGGAGTGCAGTGGCACAATCATGGCTCACTGCAACTTCTACCTCCCGGGCTCAAGCGATCTTTCCATCTCAGCCACCTGAGTAGCTAGAAACACAGGTGCATGCCACCACACCCAACTAATTTTCGTATTTTTTGTAGAGACAGGGTTTTGCTGTGTTGCCCAGGCTGGTCTTGAACTCCTGGCTCAAGCAATCCTCCCACGTTGGCTTCCCAAAGTGCTGGGATTACAGGTGTGAGCCACTGTGCTTGGCCAACTACTTTTATATTAAAATATTTTTAGTATACCATTTAAATTCTTCTGCTTATTTTTTAACTCTGTTTCTTTGCATCTTTTTTCTTTAGTGATTGCTCCCGGGACTATAATACACATCTTCAGTTTATCATAATCTTTAAATTCATACTGATTTACTTTTCTGGTGAAAAATAAAAAACTTTGCACAATTATAGCATCATTTCTTACCCTCCCTCCCCTGTGCTGTTATTGTCATATGTATTATATTTATACATTTAATACCATACTGTGTCATAAACCCACAGTATGGCATTATAATTTCTGATTTAAATAATTGTGTGTGTTTTTTGAAGTTAAGAGAAGAAAAAGTAATGTATACATATATATTTTGTATTTTAGTTATTATATTCTATATGTTCACTTTACCTACATGCTCACTATTCCAGTGCTCTTCTTTTTTATGTGAACTGGATTACTATCTGATATTATTTTCTTTCATTTTAAAGGACTGCCTTTAATTTGTCTTATAGTGTAAGTCCAACAGAACCAAATTCTCTGTTTTGTTTATCTGGAAAAATATTTATTTTACCTCTATTTTTGAAGGATAGTTTTATTAAATAGTAAATTTGTAGGTGAAAGTCCTTGTTCTTGTTTTTATTATTCTTTCAGCAGTTTAAAAATATCATTCCACCACCTTCCAGTTACCATTGTTTCTGATGAGAAATCAGTGATCAATCATGTTGTCTTGAATGTGATGTATCTCTGTTTCCCTCTCTTTCTTACTGCTTACAATGTTAGCTCCTTTCTTTGGCTTTGGCATTTTGACTATGATGTCTCTTTATGTTTTTTGTTTGTTTTTTTAACTTTGGGTGTATTCAGTTTCTTGACTCTCTAAGTTAATGGTATTCACTCACATGGAGAATTTTCAGGTTTTTTTTTTTTTTTTTTTTAATAATTGTTCTGTTCCTCTTTCTCTTTCATATTTTTTTGGAACTCCTATTACATTTGTGTTTGAACACTTTGTATTGCCTTACAGGTCTTTAAGGGTCTGTTTATTTTTCTTAAATTTTCACTCTCTGTTCTTTGGATTGCATAACTTTTGCTCTATCTTCAAATGTAAAGCTTCTTTATTCTGCCATCTCAGATCTGCTCTTGAATCCATGTCATAAATTTTTGTAATTTTCAGCTGTAGAAATCCCATTTGATTCTTTTTTTTTGTAATTTCCATTATCTATTAAAACTATCATTGGTTCATTGTAAACATAAGTTTCTTTAATTCTTTGAACATTTTTCTTTAATTCCTTGAGCATAGCTATAACAAATGCTTTGAAGCCCTGTCTGAATCTACTGTCTGTTTTGTTTTTTCTGGTTACACTTTCCTGTTTCATTGCATGTCTAGTAATTTCTGGTTGAAAACTGGACATTGATTCTAGATTCCATTCACTTCCCTAAAAGTTGTTGATTTTTTATTTTAGTAACTTTTCTGGACTTAAATTGCAGAATTAATCTCCTCCACAGTGTGCAGCCACTGATACTACCGTGTAGCTTCTATTATAGCATTTTTTTGTTTTGTTTTTCAGTCTGGTTCTCTAAGGGTGTCCTCTATTCCTACATTATATAATGATGAGACAATTATTTGGTTGGAAATTATGATCAGATACCTTTATAACTAAGCCTCCCACCCTCTGCTGCCAGAGCTGTGTGTGGCTGGAGAAACACATTCACATGTATAAGCCCTCACACAAGGTAGGAGGGTGAGATTGGGGTGAGAGTTGAAAAACTACCTGTTGGAGCAACATGGCAAAACCCTGTCTCTTCAAAAAATACAAAACACTAGCTGGGTGTGGTGGCACGTGTCTCTGGTCCCAGCTACTTGGGAGGCTGAGGTAAGAGGATCACTGGAGCCCAGGAGGTCAAGGCTGTAACAAGGTATGATCACACTACTGCACTCCACCTTGGGAGAGAGAGAGAGACTCTATTTGAAAGAAAAACAACAACAAACTACCTCTTGGGTACAATGCCTACCATTTAGGTGATGGGCACACTGAAAGCCCAGACTCCACCGTGACGCAATATATCCATGTAAGAAACATGCACATGTACCCCCTAAATACATAAAAACAAATAAATTTTAAACTAAAAAAATTTTTTTTGCACACCCTTAGGTCTCCCTTGGCTCTCACTCTTTGCTGCCTCTTTGTTTTGGTTTCTTCCCCAGTCAGAGATGTGCAGGGAGTCTATTATCTCAGTCCTCTCGTGGCTTGCTTACTTCCAGGTTCTCCTCATAACAATCCTGGCTGATCTTCTGTCTGCCATGAACAAATGCTATAATCTCAAGTCAGTAAAGCTGCAGATTTTTACTTTCTCTCCAGAACTGATTCCATGAACTTTAACCCACAAAACTGCAGGTTCTCATCTCCCCATTTCAGACCAAATCTACCACCTTCTTCAAATAAAAAGAAAGCTACTGGTTTTCTTTTTATTTATTTTTTAATTTATTTTTGAGATGGAGTCTTGCTCTGTCACCCAGCCTGGAGTGCCGTGGTGCAATATTGGCTCACTGCAACCTCTGCCTCCCAGGTTTAAGTGATTTTTGTGCCTCAGCCTCCTGAGTAGCTAGGACTGCAGGGGCCCACCACCACGCCCAGCTGATTTTTGTATTTTTAGTAGAGATGGAGTTTCACCATGTTGTCTAGGCTGGTCTCGAACTACTGACCCCAAGTGATCTACCCACCTCAGCCTCCCAGAGTGTTGGGATTACAGGCATCAGCCACCACGCCTGTCCTAGCTACTGGTTTTCAATGACAGGCCTCGAACCAAGCCCACCATTCACATTAGGTAATCTGTGCTTTTCCTCACTCGGGCCAGGGGCTGGGGAGCTTTAGGCAAGATGTCCATAGACTTGTGGCCATTCTGATGCAGGAGTGGCTTTTTAAGATTAAACACTTACCAGTTTGTTTTCTGTTTTGGGTCATTTTCCAGTACCCAGAAATTGTTGTTCTTGACAATTTTATCTAGTTTTCTACCTGTTTTTTTTTTTTTTTTTTTTTTCCAAAAGGAAATTGGCCAACTCCTTAGACCCTTCTAAGGTGAATCTTGGACTGGATCGGTTTCATGTTTCTTCCACTTCAATGCTTTATTGCCCACAGCTTTTGATTTGGATCAGAGACGTGCTGATATTAGGAGGCTGGCGTAGGCACATGGACGGAGAGCTGAATTTTGCATAAGTCACCTCAAATGCACAAAAATAAATGGGAGAACCAGTGATGCTGAACGCTGAACTGGGCATTTCAGAGCTGGGGTCTAGTCTCAGTCCAGCCTTGACAAAACCTCTTTGAGGTTTTCTAAAAAAGTATCTAACAAAGGATTCCCCAAGCCTCCCCAACATGTCCCACTGTTCCCAACTTCTCCCCAGGTCCTTTCCCGACTTCTCCTCTGCCTTTCTCATGGGCCTGTGACTGTGAGGGTGAAAATGGCTGAAATTAACTTTCACTTCTGCTCAGACATCTGGAACCCATGAACAAAGTCACTTCCTTGTTTTCTTTCTGAGTGGCTGCTGGAATTCTTTGAGAGAGAGAGAGATAGTGAGTGAGTGTGTGTGCGTGTGTGTGTGTGTGTTTGTGTGTGTGTGTGTTATTGTTATTTTACAACCTCTGTCTTCTGGGGTGGACAGAAAGGTAATGTTTTATCCTGGATCACATAAGGGCCAGCGCACCTCCCTGCAGATTCTCACATCCCCTCTCACTCTAACCTTGGGTAGATGGAAAATGGATTTTCTTTGTAGGAAGCTGGATTTCTTGCTCCCCACTATATTCTCTATACCCTGAAGTCCAAGTATATTATAGTTGTCCAAAAGCATCTATTTAGGACCCACTGACAAAATGTTAGAAATGGTTCAGGCAACCTCACAGCATCCTGGTTCAGCAAAAGACTCAGCCCAGGGATCTGTCTCTGAGAGTCTGTAGGAGTCTTAGTCATGAATCATGTTCAAAGCCATCTCCTTGGCAGCTTCCCTCAGTGACCCCTGATAGAATTTTGCCCCTGCCTCTGGTCTAGCACTGTGCCCCATTGAGGACTCAGTGGCTGCATCTGCCGTGCTCCACTGCAGTGATCTGCTTACCAGGCCCCTTCCCCAAGCTTCTTAGGCTGAGGCCCTCAGAGGAGGATGGAGCGTAGCTGTATTGGTATCTCCAGCCTCCAGCGGGTGCTTACCACAGAGCAGGTGTTCAGAAAACTGTGCTGCGTTAATCTAATTGAAGTAAGAAGACCAAGTCATCTCATCTCAAATCAGTCACTTTTTAAATCAGAAGCTCACAGAGTTTGGAACTCTTTCAACTTGTGTTTCATGGTTGGATCCGCATAGTAGGTATCAGGAGGTGAATGTAAGAGTAAATTAACGGGAGCCGCCATGGACCGAGCAGGCCCAGGATTCTGGACACTGTTCTGAGCCCTTTGCTACCTCGCAGAGAAGATCAGATCTGGGACTTAAAGCAGTTAGTCACATTCACATCAGCTTCCAGGTATTTGGAGTCTAGTATGTGCTAAATATGGTAATAGATGCTTTTGATGTATGAATCCATTTATTCTCACAAAAACCCCGGGGAAGTGAAACAGACTATTTCCACAGTGTCTTAAAACCCCAGAACTCTGTGTTGCTGCCTCTATTGACATAAGCACCTGTCAAAGCTGTAACTCACAGCTCAGTATTGACTTAGTCCACTGCAAGGAAATGAACTCCATGAGGAAACTGAGACTCTGGACCGTGCGGTAGAAGCTGGCCTGTCTGCGCACCACACCTACTCTCAAGGATCCAAGACCATGAAGGGAGAAGAGAGAGCCCACTGAGTGGCTTCCTCTGATAAGACACCGGTGGAAAGGAGCCAGCTCACTGGTGAGTGGCTCACCATGCCTGGTTTGATCAGCAAGACTCTGAGGTCATCTCAGAAGCCTTCTTGTTCCCACTGGTCCCTTGACTGCTGTGGACAGGATGCCACCCAGCACTCCAGACACCACTTACCACTCTAGATGTTGGGATCCTTCTCCCATCGCCTCCATTATTCTTGTTCTCTCCTCCTCTGAGTTTTCATAGCCAAGTGAATTGCCAACACTGAAGAGATCTAAGTCAACTACTGGCTAGGGAACTATTAAACATATGAGGAATTAGCTTTTACCGAGCACCGATTCTGTGCTCACCGTTCATGCCCATTCTTCCACTTAATGCTGATTATGTCCTGTGTGCTAGCTATTATTAACATCATTTAAAGACAACACAAAACCAGTGAGGCTGAGAGAACAGCTTCACACAGATGGCACACGGCAGAGCCCACGACCTCTCCTGAGCTCCACAGCGTTTGTCCACACGGCAGGGCAAATTACCTTGTAGAGTCGGCGTGGAGGTTTGCTAACCCTGCCAGACTTGGTGCAGGAAAAACACCAGCTGTGCTGTTAAACCAAAACCCCATGAGAAAACTTTCTGGTGACAGAGGGGCATTGTGACCCATGTGGCCCAGGGTCAGGGAAAGGGCAGCTGCTCATGGTCGTTCCTCAGGCGTTTTCATGGAGCAGAGGGACCCCCCCAACCAAGCCCAGGAAGCCCACAGGAGCTTCAGCAGGGCTCGGCTGGAGGGCGGGGCCCCTGCTGCACTTGCTCACTGGGGGCTGGGGAGGCTCTGATCGCAAACCGGGGGTGCTGCCACCCCTGTCTGCTGCCAGAAAGCCACAAGCCATGAAAACTGATTGAGATGAGAAGGATTCATCTGGGACTGGCTTTTTGCTTTAGGATGGTGTTGGAAGATGCTGGTTGTCGCTAGAAGTCTGCTCCACTGTAAGGGTGCCGGGATTTGAAGAGCTATGGTGCAACACCACTGAAGCATTGCCAAGGTGAGGCTTCATCTTCCGGGTTCTTGATCGTCTGCCTTTAAATTGTGCAAATGGTGCTCTAAGGCCTGTCGTGGGGACAGCAGGCAGGGACGTTGCTGTGGGTGCTACAGACAGAGGAAGAGGCATGAATAGGATCTCTGCCTCAGCTATGAATCAATTGCCCCGTGGTTTGTGTGTTTCCAGTTTTGAGAATTTTTAATTTATAAAAGTTTATCCATCCAGGGTAGATTCTGCTTTTTGGGCTCTGGAAGTTGGAAAAAGCAGTGAATGTGCCACAGAGGAAAGAAGGGATGTGGGCTGTGGAAAGGGGGTTGGGTAGGCACCCACAGGCCACTGCTGTGCTGTGGGCATGTCACTCGGCCTCTTGATGGGGGTGATATCATCTGTGCGGAGTGTATGCAGGTCAGCGGGCACACGCAGGGAGCACCTGGCTCAAGGCAATTGACTGGTGGTTGCTTTCATTTTATTTTGTTTGTTTCTGAATGAAGTTGTTCCATTCTTCAGGCATTCGGGGATGGGGTAACTGAACTGATTTAACAGTGATCTTGGTTAAGAGATCTGTTTCACCAGGAAACAACTGTGAAAAGGAAAGCAGAGTTGATCACATATTTTGAAAGGATTTGTTTAAATTGTAAGGCTTTGCCAACTTTTCCACTTATCTTGTAATGTGGGTAGATGAAGTTCACCCTCATCTACGCACATTACCAAGGAACTAAGGAATCGTGCATTTGCAGGAACAGAGAAGGGTTCGCTGTGATATGTGTAGATCCTCCTCCCTCGGGAGAGGGGAACTTAATTCCCCTCACCTTGAGTGAGGCCTGGACTAAGGATATGGAAAGGGGGAAACGGTTGCTCTGTCGTGGAGAAACCTGCAGATGCCAGCTTCACCAAGCGATCAAGCTTAGCATCAGCAGGGATGAGATGAGCTGCTATTGTGACCTGCCACGACAGTGCAGCTCTTCCCATCAACTCATAACTCCAGTCCAATCATGAGAACGTATCAGACACATCCAAACTGGGGAAGATTCCACAACAGATTTCACCCTCAAAAATGTCAAGTTCAAATGAGAACACATGGACACAGGGAGGGAAGCACTACACACTGGGGTCAGTTGGGGGGAAATAGGGGAGGGACGGTGGGGGGTGGGGAGCTGGGGAGAGATAGCATGGGGAGAAATGCCAGATGTAGGTGATGGGGAGGAAGGCAGCAAATCACACTGCCACGTGTGTTCCTATGCAACAATTTTGCATGTTCTTCACATGTACCCCAAAACCTAAAATGCAATAAAATAAATAAATGGGGAAAAAAAAAAAAAGAAGTAGAGCATTACCAACATCCCAGAACCCACTCTTGTGCCTCTTCCAAATGCTACTTCTCTGGGGGTAACCATTCTCCCTTCATTTAACTTTATGTAAATGGAGCTATACAATGTGTTTAGTATTTGGCTTCTTCAGCTCAATATTATCCTTGTAAAATCCATTTATATTGTTCTGTTCAGTTGAAGGTCATTCATTCTCATTGCTGTCTAGTATTCCATTGTGAAAATATACCACAATTAATTCTGCTGTTAATAGCCATTTAAGCAGTTTCCAGTTTAAAGTTATTAATAAGTGTTGTTGTAAATATTCTTTTATGTACCTTTTGATAGAAGTAAGCAGTCATTTTTTCTGAATGTATAACCAAGAATGGAATTGTAAGATCATAGGGTAAGCATATGTTCAGCTTCAGGAGACACCAAAGCAACCTTCTAGAGCCCTTATACCAAGTTCCATTTTTTTTTCATTTTTCAGTTTTTTACTTTTTAAATATGTTTAGAGATGGGGGAGTGTCTCACTATGTTAGTCAGGCTGGTCTCGAATTCCTGGCCTCAAGCGAGTGTCTTGCCTTAGTCTCCCAGAGTGCTGGGATTATAGGTGTGAGCCACTGCACCCAGCCATCAAGTTCCATTTAATTTAAAAAATTTAAGCGGAGACTCCAGAGAAATTTCATTCTTGGGAAGGTGGTATTTATTTTTATCAAGTACCCTATAGTTACTGGGGCTAATATTCACAATTATTTCTTTAAGAAATTGTAATAAAAATTGTTACAACCAGAAAAAAAAAATGTCAAGTTCAGGCTTTGTGCAGTGGCTCACACCTGTAATCCCAGCACTTTGGGAGGCTGAGGCAGGTGGATCACCTGAGGTCCGGAGTTTGAGGCCAGCCTGAGCAACATGGAGACACCCTGTCTCTACTAAAAATACAAAAATTAGCCGGGTGTAGTGGCGCATGCCTGTAATCCCAGCTACTCAGGAGGCTGAGACACGAGAATTGTTTCTACCCGGGAGGCGGAGGTTGCGGTGAGCCGAGATCACACCACTGCACTCCAGCCTCGGTAACAAGAGTGAAACTCTGACTCAAAAAAAAAAAAAAAGTCAAGGTCATGAAAAACAAAGAAAGACAGGGTAAGTGCCACAGATCAGAGGAGACATGACAGTCGGGACACCCAAACCCAGAATTTGCATCCTGTATTGAATCCTAGAACAATGCTGCAAAGGTCATTAGTGGAAAAATAGATGAAATCTAAACAAGGCCTGGAGTCTCGCTGATACTATGGTAACAGTTACTCCTTAGTTCTGGCAAAGGTACCATGGTTAGGTAAGGTGTTAACCATAGAAGAACCTGTGGAAGGACATATGGAAATTCTCCAGACTATCTTTGTAATTTTTCTCCAAATCTAAAATTATTGCAAAATATTAAAAAAAAAAAAAAGTAGACTCATTCTTCCTCAGAGCAGAAGTTCCCAATCCTGGGCATCCTTGGGAAAACTGGCATTCATGGCCTGGTAGTCGCACCCTCTCTTTGAACATTCTGGAATACAGCGGGCCTTTTGCATTTTTGATCATCCCTCATTCTCTTTCCCAACCCTGACCTTATTCTAAAATAGCTCTGTATTTGCCTCTCTTTATGGTATTTCTCATAGATGATTTTTGTTGTTGTTGTTGTTGTTCAATGGGTTTTGTGGGAGTTGTTTTTTGTATTTTTTGTTTGTTTTTCAGAGATGGGGTTTTGCTCTGTTGCCCAGGCTGGAGTACAGTGGCAAGAGACCATAGCTCACTGCAGCACCGACCTTCTGGGCTCAAGCGATCCTCCCACCTCAGCCTCCTGAGTAGCTGGGATCACAGGTATGCCGCTGTGCCTGGCTAATTTTTAAATCTTAGTTTTTTGAAGAGATGGATCTTGCTTTGTTGCCCAGGCTGGTCTCCAACCCATAGCTTCAAGCCATCCTCCCACCATGGCCTCCACAGTGCTGGAATTGCAGGCATGAGCCACTGCCACTGGGCCAGCATGCATTTTTGAGCCTTTGCTCTGTGTCAGGGGCTGCAGGACTGTCTGCCCAGCCAAGCTCACTTCACTGGTGTAGGCTCCTGGTACCCCAAGCACAGGCGCAGCTACCCAGACCTGACTCCTCTCCAGGAAGGAAGCAGAAGGCCAACAATGGAGGGAGTGAGGACCCGGGCCTCTAGGGGAGTACGGCCTTCCAGCCAGATGGAATCTGCTGTCCTCTGGGCTCAACCAGCCCCACAGAATCTGGCCGGTCAAGCAGCTGTGAGCTGGGCTGGACAGCCCTTCCTCGGGAGTAAACTGTGGCCTCCAGGACGTAGGGCAGGGACTCAAAGGGCCAGCTCCTGTTTGAGGACTCTGATCTTGTGCGCCCACCTGTGGCTTGGGGTCTGAAGCCCTGCGGACTGCCCACCAGCGGCCAGCATCCTTGCTTGAAGGGGTCATGTGTGTGAAGCGGTAGCAGCCAGGCAGAGTAACCTGGCCCTGCTTGCAGGCCCAGCAGAGCAGGTGAGCCCTGCTCAAAGGTGACGCCGCACCTGATTAGAGAAGAACTTCCGAAGCAGGGGAGAAGGAAGAAAGAGTGATAAAGCTGCAGGAAGACAGCATGTAGAGGGAAATCTCAAGATACTTAGATGGAAATAAATCACACAGCTCTTACAGGAAAATCACAGCTAAAAGGTGGTGATTACACATGGGCCTGAAGTGCCTTTCCTGTCACATCTGCTACCTCACTGCCAGCCTGTATGCAGTGGTGACAGCAGCCCTCACATTTCTGGAATGTTCCATGACATGCTCCTGCTTTTTTCAGTCCCCTCCCCACCTTCCCATGTAGGCAACTCTCAATTGCTCTGACGTCCTGGGTGAGTGTGGATGTCTCTTCCCAGTCATGGTGCTCAAGCCCATTTGTGTGTCCCTAGCAACCACCAGCACATGCCCGGGGCTCTTGTCTGAGGCCTGCCAGGCTCTCTGGACCAGAGCTCCTTGAGAACAGGGACAGGCCTTATGTGTGCCTTTAGGCCCCAGCACCCAGCAGCACAGTGCCTGGCCCACCAGGGGTATCTGGTAAAGTGGTTCTTGAGTGAAAGACACAAGAGCAAAACCTTGAATGAAAATTCAGGTTAAGACATGAGGATAAGAGCTTGAAAGAGGAAAAGGAAAGGTAATTAAATAAACTTCCCTACCCATGGTGCCCTCCAGTGCCGTCAGCATGCTGGGGTTTTGACAGGGCCCTTGGAAGAAAGAGAAGAGGCATCTGAGCCCTCTGGCACATTCCGCTTCCTGCAAGGCAATGTGGCATAGAGGAAAGCGTTAGGGCTTCCTTTCAGCCAGGTCTGTCTGACTGTGCACCCGCCAGCTGGGTGTGGGAAATGGGAGCAGTGGCACCCACCCCCAAGCACAGATGTGAGAACTGAACAGAACTACGGGATGGGGGTCCCAAGCCTAAGACATAGAGGAGGCTCCTCCTCGTCCACTGTGGGGCTTGTGGGTGCCCCTTCATCAAAGCACTGGTGCGTCCCACATTGCATTCAAGGAAGTTCTCTCGCGTGCCTTCTCATCACCGCTCTCTACTGGCCTCTTTGCACACTTTGGTACCTAGGACATCGAGCCTGGACCAGTGGGGGGCAAACAAGACGCCTGGGATGCAAAACATAAGGAGTCTCCCACGCTCAGGTGGT